CCAGCCTGTCCAGATCCCTCTGTCAGATTGTCTCATATTAGACAGTGTTGTATTAGTAGATTGTCTCATTATTGTCTCATTTCTAAACCCAAGAAAGCCTCTGTAATATTTAGTGATTCTGAAATGTTACACAAGCCCACTTCAACAGACAACAGATTAAAACTCATCAATATACATGGCACAACCACTTTTATAAAATAGAAGCCGGTAATCACAGAATAATATAAGTCTGGAGGAGACCACTGATGGTCATCTGGTCCAATCCCACATACAGACCAGGATAAACTTAGAGCAGGTTGCTTACTGTCTTGAGCAAATGTCCAATTCAGTTTTGTAGTATCTCCAGGGATGGAGACTCCACAACCTCTCTGGGCAATCTCTTCCATTTTTTCACTAGTCTCATGGTGAAAAATGTTTTCCTAATATCCATATGGAATTTAACATGTTCTAAGATGTATCGTGTCCCTCTGTATCTCTGAGAAGAGTCTGACTCTTATCTTCTGCTATTTATTCATCAAAAGAATCCATGTTTCAAAATGAATTTGTCTCATCTACAAGCTTGTCTCTTTGCTAATTAAATAATCCAGTGGAAAAATGTTGTGCTTTGCCTTTTGGCCCCACTAATCATGGTTTTCAAGAAAAGGAAATAGACTTCTATTTTTGGTAGGTGTTTTAGCTCAGAAAAATAGTCTCTGCTGCAGAGCTAACAGCCCCCATTTAAGGCAAAATAATATATTATAAATATATATATAGTATACAATATAAATATATTATAAAGTAAGTAAATGTTGAATACTTTTTATATGATCACACAGTTACATAGACTGACCTAGCAAGTAAGGAGACCCTAACACTGAACCTGAATCCATAATATATAAAATTGTGACTACGTCTAACGTTACTCCTAGTTCATCTAAGCATCTCTTGGTCTAAAAAGATCAGAACATGATCTGCATTTAATCAATAGCTTACATTGTATTTCAGTATTTGTATTGCCGGCAACAACACTCATAATACCCAGAGAATTGTGAACTGCCTATAAGCAGTTCTCTATAAGCAGCAGACTCTCAGGCTCCAGAAATGACTAAAATTGACTTAGATATCATGATTCTCATTTTTTCTTATTATTGGGTTATGTTTGCCAACTTAGCAGGCTAAATCAGCCAGCACAAGCTTTGTTCAGTGCTGGAGCTGCAGGAAGGTGTGGGGATAGTACTGCAACAGCCTGCAGTTGCACTGGTCGAAGCTGCTGTGGAAAGTCAGCTTCAGGTTTGCTTGGGAGGGAGAGTAAGTATTTACAGCTGCGGTCAGCATTTACAGAGTTTTACTCTTCTACTGTAGAGGAGGTTATTCACAGACAGAGGAGCTGAAAGGTCTTGCGTTTTCCAAAAGCTGAAAATCAGAGCACCATAAGCACTTATAACAGCACTTACATTTTCATATACTGCTATTGGTTACAGAACTGTTCACCTATACTAGTTTAGATCTAGCCCAATAGATGTTACCCATCTGTGTGGCCTTTGTATGAGACCAGGCTGATGAGTTCAAATTCCAGCTCACATGTCACTGAACCAAGACCTCATTATCCCTATTACTCTCTCAGAACAGAGCTGTGAAATGCTGATAGGGGAATACACATAGAGTGTTGGCTTCTCCAGAGTCCTCTGGATGGCATCCTGTTCCTCAGGCGTGTCAGTTGCACCACCCAGCTTGGTGTTGTCCGCAAACTTACTGAGGGTGCACTCGATCCCACTATGTCATCGACAAATATATTAAACAGTACTGGTCCCAGTACAGACCCCTGAGGGACACTGCTTGTCACCAATCTCCATCGGGACCTTGAGCCATTGACCACTACCCTCTGGATGCAACCATCCAACCAAGTCCTCGTCCACTGAACAGCCCACACATCAAATCCATATCTCTCCAGTTTAGAGAGAAGGATGTTATGGGGGACTGTGTCAAAGGCCTTAAAATATTCTTGCCCTCAGTAAATCTTGAGAGGAATACAGCACACAGTTCAAAATGAATAAGCTATATAAAATGGAGGTAGCATTTAAAAAAAAAAAAAAAAAAGCTCAGATTTGACCCAGTCTACCCTCAGACAAAGACAACAAAAACATTTCATTCATCTGCTATGGTAGTTTACACTGATGACTGTTAGGTCCAAAGGGTTTTAACTCAAGCCTTGACAAGGTCTGAGCAACTAACCTGATAATGCAGCACTGCTAACGTGGGCCAGGCAAATCAGGTGATGCCAGTCCTACTTGGCCTTCCTATAATGCATTTCTCACCTGTCTTTTCCTGCTATCTACCTATTTTTTCCTGACACTTCACTTGTTTTATGCTTTTTTGAATTCAGCTGTCTGCATTCCTTTAGAGTTCTGGGATGGAACCCGAACAAAAGCATGCATTTATTCCAATGCAACCTTTATTAAGCAGTATAAGTATTATATTAAGTATATCCAAGGTCAATAAAGCCAAAGGGAAACAATACACTTTCCAGTCCAATAGGAATATTTTTTAATTTAAGTCTGGCAAAGCAACTACATTGAAAAGATATATTGGACACTGAAGGAAATCAAATTGAAACAAACTCTTCTCCTCCATAAATTTATTCCACTTTTTTGATTATAAGTATTATATTAAGTATATCCAAGGTCAATAAAGCCAAAGGGAAACAATACACAAACAAAATTCCAGTCCAATAGGAATATTTTTTAATTTAAGTCTGGCAAAGCAACTACATTGAAAAGATATATTGGACACTGAAGGAAATCAAATTGAAACAAACTCTTCTCCTCCATAAATTTATTCCACTTTTTTGATTTTCCCCCAAATCCTAAAAAAATTCGGCCACAGTGGATCTCATAATTCAGTAATATATATGAGGTCTTTGCTACAACCTTCAACTGTGCTAATTATTCAAATCTAATTAAAAAATATCTTCTCTTCTATTGTTGATAAGTATTAAAGTTTTTTTGGGGGAATACAGAAATCAGTAGCACAGTCATCTTGAAAAATGTGACAGGTGTTGCTGACTTCAAGTTACAAATGTCAATATGCTGACCCTTATAAATTATATGTTTGCCACAGGATATAATTCTGTGAAAAATACAATGAGTTGTTCAGTCATTCTAGATGATCCTTTATGTCTGACATCTCACAGAAGACTAACCTTCAGAAGAGATATTTGGAGGAAAGTCCCCATTAAAAAGAGACAGAAAAGTATATGTGCTTTCTTAAAGAACAAGAGTATTACATCAGTAAATACAGTAAAGATATTTGTGTAAATTTTAATGAAGTTTGTTTATACTGATTTTCCAAAATAAACTGACTAATGAAAGGAAGTTAATAACATACTGATTGACGTAGGAGAAAGACTTTATACTGTAAGTTCATAACAACAGAAGGAAAAGCTAAGTCACCCTGAAAGAATGGCCTTCAAATTTTTTCAGGTGAATTCTTTTTCTGTCGTAATATGAAAGCATATACATAAAGCTTCTATTAATATATTAAACATTAATATTAATAAAATTTACAGTTACACAGACTGCAAAATAAGTTTTAAAATGGAAAAGAGACATATATTTGGATGACAGGCAAACTTAATTCTAACTGCTTATGCCTCCAGCCTGCATACAAAATGAGGCAAAGAACCTGTGGGAAGAGAATTACCCCTGCTCGTAATAAACCCATTTGTCTTCCAATGGCTGCTCCCATAGTACCTTCAGGTATACGGCACACCCTAATCACAGGCTGGAGAAGAAGTGGATGGTCCTACAGCTAGTTCCCCACTACATGTGTGTGACTAGCCAGCTAACTAGCCAGCCAACATGATAATTTGCCACATAACAGGCTTAAAAACCAACCAAGCAAGCAAATAAACAAAAAAAAATACCCCACACAAACAAACAAAAAACCCTCAACCCATCACCAAGGAATAGTTGAACTTTCAATTAAGGTACTAACTTGAGTCTTCCTTCACTCTCATTTCATGAACCATGTATGCATTTAAGGTCTTTTCTGCTGCTAATTTGAACAAAAGCCATGATCTGCAGTACATTAAGTAAAAAAAAGCATCTGTAGATGCTTATTAATGCTTGTCAATACTAACAAATGCAAGTCAAGGAAGACAAAGGTCAATTTTATAAATTTTATAAATTAACAAAACATGAAAAGACTTTCTGGAACAAAGAAAAGGATCATTTCTATTCTGAGATGAGTCTCAGACATGCTGTCAACAGTAGAAGGCTTAGCCATGAACCATGCTTACTTATGCAAGAAAGCACAAGATTAGTGAAGAGTAGGCTTCCTTGAAAATAAGAACGGGCATATATATTTGAAGTGATTAGCAATACTAATACAGTACCTGAAGACACAGTGTCATCCTCAGAAACCTCAGTGTCTTTAAAATCCAAAGTGAAGGACCTGAAGGCAAATTTATAGCTGTAAGGAGCCTTCTTGCCTAATACATATTTGATCAAATGCCAAAATGCACCGTTAAAAACCTAAAATCAAAAAGAAGAAAAGCATTCAAAGAATGACTGATTTTTAAAATCTGATTTATATTGCTTCTCATTATTGTTTCAAAAACTGTTTAAATCTTTTCTTTTTTTCATGTAAAAATGAAGTCTTTAACTTCATCTAACAAATACAGTAACTGAAAATTAGTCCCAGCTGTAGGAGTATAATGCTTCGAGCCAACAATCAAGAGAAAACCTGTTTCATGCCTGGCTTATTAAAAATAGGACTGATTCTACAGCGTAAGTTTTTATTTGGTATCTTAGTAGTTTATGTGAAGTGAGTTGATGGTCTCATACCAGAGGGCAGAAGAACACATGATAATCACCATCATGACAATGGACATTCTAATTAGAGGCTTCAGAACAGAGACCAACAAACTAATAGGCATGCTTACTGATTTAGGAGGTGGCACCACAAGGAAAAGTAGGAATTTATTGATGGGCAAAAGGGGAAGATTTGGTGTCCTACTTGTACGACTAAACTGATGGCTCTATTTTTATCCTTGGCATATTGGTGCTCTTTAAAGGGTCTTTAAATCCAGTCTCTTTTTCCTTCATCCAATAGATGGAAATTTTAGAGTGTTTTTTCAGAGCTTGTTTCATAATTTGAATTGAAGAACATAGTAATAACTCAATGGAAAACAGGTAATTTTCCCCTTCATTGTCCTTATTTTCAGATTTTTCTGCTTTCTGGAAACATTTTATCCTGAGTTATGTATTTTAATATTAATAAAAACTTCCTTTATTTTGAAATATTTAAGACTGGTGAAGAAAGAATCTACTATAATACATGCTTATGTTCAGAACAATTTTTCACTGTTTGTATTAAAGAAAGATCATTTATATATTTTCATCCTTGAATCACTGTTGGCTCAGTGCCTCTCATTTGTCTCATTTCTGGTTTTTTATTGCTTTACAACTATACACTGGTCTTCTTGGAGGGGGAGAGACAAGAGATATGTATGTTCATGCTTACTGAATTTTTCTTAAAGTTCCTAAGTTTTACACATATTTCGTATGAACATATATATTTCAAATTTGTATTTCCCATGCCAGAGAGGTCTAATAGATTTCTTCTTTACATACGTGTTTATTAAAATTGTTTGTTCACCTTGAAGTGTTCTTTAGCCATTCCAGTACTATGGAGGCCAGGAGGACAGTGAGTTAGTTCCAAATCCTTCAAGGCTGTATAAAGTTCAGGCTTACTGCTGAAATTATTTATCACATTTCCAACAGCTTTCAGGATAGCTGTAGCCTGTTCTATAAACCGGTTGCTCTCCTGGAGAGAGAGAGAAGAAACACAACCATTGTTAGAAAGATTGCTTTAAGATTTTATTTTGTTTTCTTTCTAGGCTGTGACAGCATACAAGCATTTTTTATGTGCTGAAGTACAAAACTTTTCCTAAGTCAACCAACTGTTATTAATTTTACAAACTGTAAAATCAATTAGGCTTCTGGTATTCAAAAGCATACAAAATTTTCACTAATTTTAGCCATTGAAATAAAAATGTTACAACACTATAACAGGCAGCATAACATATATCTGTTAAGGATTTTATTTTTCCTGTATCATTAGCTGTAGAACATTTAATAAAAAATAAGATTCACACAGAGACTTTTTACTGCTGTGATAATAAGACTCTTGTTAGCTGAAATGCACAGCATCTCTTCTACTATG